AACTACCATGCGTAAGATGCAAAAAAAAAACTTGTCGACTTTTGTTATCCCACCTTCTTCCATGGGTACATTGATCTAAACAAGTTTTTACTTATAGTTCATTCACTAGATTTTTTAACTGAAGCCATCACTTTACGTATACTCGTATGTATTTATTATTTCTATGGAATATCTTAGGCCCTAAATGCAACGCAGGTATGTATGTACCCCTACTCGTTATGCCTGTTCCTTGTACACTGAAAAAATTTTTTACTCAGGCCAGGCATTACTCAGTAATAACTCATGAAGAAACTCAGTGAATACGATAGTGGTGCTCACTTATTGGCTGATCTAACTCACATCACCAGGGTGACTTCGTTATGCGTGAGTTCTGAGTGCTTAGTTTCGTGAATTCGAACTGAGTCGGAAATGAGTTTTGCTTGGGCAAATCTAGTTTCCTGCGCAATGCATGAGTTCTCGCGAATTCACGTGCAGTTGTGCGTGAGGTACCCCCGGCTTGAAGATGCGCGCATGCGCGGCAGGGTGAGTTTCCTGCGTGATGCGTGAGTTCGCGTGATGAGTATTATAGCCGTTGCGTTCGAAAACCGCGACGCGCGCTTCAGTCCGTTGCGGTGACTCGCGTAGTTCACGTTGAATTGTTGAGGCTATTGTGAAATTGTGCGGGAGAGTGCAGGAGCGGGGAAGGCGTGCAGCGAAGGATGGGACCGGTAAGTTATCTGTGAAGAGCTCGGTGATTGTCGATGAAGCCTTTATCAATCGCATGCGCCGCGGAGAACAGGGAGGTGAACTGATGGACCAGCAGACATTCCCCGCCGGCGTCAGGAGGTCGGTGCCAACCGTGAACGGCGGAGCAGATCGATCGAGAAACTGAGGGATACCTACCCGGCATAGTTCGAAAAAGAAGAGGTGAGTTATGTTATATTTAAATTTAACCCTTGCATGTGTGCGGCGTTTTCCAGCTTCTAATGTGTAGGGGGGGGGGGGGGGGGTCGGTTGGATTTAACCGATTTGGTCGGTTAAATTTAACCCTTGCCGTTTGGCCCCTGATCGAGCTAGAGCTTCGCGGAAAAAAACGAGCGTGTTGCCCGTGACGAGAGGAAGCCGATGATACCCAATTTTAAGGTCCTAGGTCATTGGTTGACCTTCCAGGTCAGGTCAATGACCCAAAGTCGGGAAAATCGGGACCTATTAGAAAGTCGTAAAGTGTGGCTGCTAAGGGGTTTTTCGGGGTACTGATCACGAATATCGTGTTAGTTTTGATCACAGATGATGTCTTTAAGCATTTAGACCAGGTCGGGTCAGGTCAGGTCAGGTCAATCAGTAGGCGTCGTGACGGGTATTCGTAGTACGTGTCAACCGCCTCTGACAGCTTCGTAACATGTTACGAAGGCACCAAAACTACTTCGTAAGTGTTCAAATGGTTGTTAAATTCGAATTCAGCTCCAAAAACTAGCCTAGAAACATGTAAAACTCGAAAAAGTGAACCGAGGTCACCCGAGGTCACCAAAGGTCAATGACCTGACCTGACCTTCAGGTGACCTTGACACCCACCCTAATGCATGGGAGCAACATCAAATCACATGTTTGAACGTTTGAAACCACGAAAAGCTTGCAAACGCGCGGCTAATGCGAGCCGACGTACGCCGAATCGCGATTCCGGCCAAACATGGTCTCGGAAAAGAGGTCACAGGTCAAAGGTCATTTGGGTCAGGGTCATGAAAGTTTCAGGGTAGGTGTAAAATTGATCAATGCGATGGTACTGAAAGTTTCGTCGCGATCAGCCGCTTTTTACGCGAGTTATTCGCGAAAAACCATGGGGAAAGGGGGGTCAATCCGACCCCCCCCCCCCCTACACATGCGAGGGTTAGAAAAAAAACATGTTTGTGGGATAATGTTGTCCTTATCCTAAAAGAACGTTCATTTGACCCTTTTTACTTCTTTAAACAAGAACTCCGTCACGACCCGATGTTTTTTTTGGGGGGGGGGGGGCGAAGGTTGTTTGAAGTCGATTCTTTCCATGCAGCATCCATAGGCACAATGTTAAAAATGTAAAATATTGGGGGACACGTCCCCCGTACCCTTCCCCCCCCCCCCCCGGTGGTGGAGCCCATGGTCTTAATTCCGCTCGCTGAACCGTTTAAGATTCTTTTGTCTCGTTTGTGCTTATTATTTTTCCACTGTTATTATTTTTTCCGACTGTTTTTTTTTTTAATGCCTACACACATATTTTCGCACACTATTCGATTTCAGCGAGCATTTTCAACCTTCCTTACATATTAGATTATTAGATACCGCGGCGAGACGCGTTTGGACGTGACATACTTATTTCCATTACTGTTAAGTATAACACATTTTATGTGATTGTTTCAAGCTGATTTTAATATTGGACGCCCATGGAAGTGTTTTGCGAGACTAAAACCCGAATGTTAAGGTGACCATCCGACCTTCACCCGCGCTGTGCTGGGTGGCGTTTTACGCCCCCCCCCACCCCGCCCCCTCAGGTTTTTCGCGAATATCTAAGAACGGCGGCGCGCAGCGCCACCATTTTCGGCACACCTGCTCATACATTTGTTTCTGCATATGAAGAAATTTTAGACCCAGGTCGTTCAAGGTCAGGTCACGTCAAATGACTTAACATCGGAAAAATTTCAATGGTCGCTGACGATCGCACCGTTCGCAACGTGCCATGGAAACCGTTCGATATTTTTGTCATTTTCGCTCAGGGAATTCACCGCTCGATTTCACACCAGTTTGAGGTAAAATGTCAAAAAAATATCGAACGGATTTCATTGTATAGCGTTTTTGATACTGTCCCATCACCATGTCTCAAGTATCAACCTTACGGCATGTATAAAATATGTTTGCTAGTGCAATAAAACACCTCATATGTGTTCAGCTTGACGGTTTGGATCGACTGATATGCAACATGACCTGGTCAGGTCAACCTAAGGTCAAGTTTTAAATATGGCCTTTCAAGGTCTAATTATAGTTCATTCGTCCCGACGAGAAGAACACTATGCTAACGGCAAAATAAATGTCGTGACTCTTGAGTGGAAAGTATTACAGAAAACATTTTGGTAAAAACGGCTTTTTAGAGTTTTTGCTCTCTGGAGGCTTAATTGTTGACCTGAGGTCAAATCTGAGATCAAACGCCAGCAAGAAAAAAGTCGAAAGGGCTTTTGACTGCATTTTTCCGCGGGCAGCTCTTTTGGTTCCGAGTTAAGCACCAGTTTTTCGAAAATATTGAAATAAGCAAAATTTGGCCTTTCCTGACCTCTGGTGACCTGGCACTTGACTTGACCTTAAAATTACCCAAGTATTTCCTTAAATATCTTTAATGCTTTTTCGAAAGCCGCTTACGGCGTGTCGCTACGTGGCCCAACCCCAACAGCCGAGTTAGAAGAGGGGACGTGAAGACGACCCCCTCCCCTCAGTACATCACGGTAAACTCAGAGCACCAGCACGGCGCGGTTTAACATTAATTTTGAGCTGAGGTAACTTGATAACTTTTGATATTTCAATCACCTTGCATGCCCTATAACTTCCGTTTCTCTTACTGGCAAAAGAAAATCTGATTTTTTATTGTGTTTTCAGGGAACGGCCCATTGAGCCTCCTCTGCATCTTGGCGGAGAAGGCGTCAGTGGTGGCGTACACGGGTGACGAAAATTTGGATCACCCCTATCATAACAAGTCTGAAGAAAACGAACGGTGCCGCCTCATCGTGGAGCGAACGGAAGTCTTGTGGGGATCCATGGTTTGGAAGGGAGTCTTTTGCTGTGGGCGACGGCGCACTTTGTGCTCAGTCAACAAACGGCGCACAAAGTGCGAAACACGCTGTGGTTTGTGTGTATCCATGTGCTCCACACACCATTCAATGCTGAGCGCCAGCCACCTGTAGGCGCGAAGACTGAGGTCGAGAAGCTGGCAAAAGAGTGAAGCTGAGCTGACGTGGAGTTGATCCCCCCCCCCCCCCCCCCGACGCAGTTTGGCGTGTGTCAGAATTGAAATACAGCGCAATGCGACCGTTTCTACAAACATGTATTTCTTGTAAGGGCTGGGGCGAATAGTGCAAGACTAGACGTTGGTCGGGCATGGTATAATACAGATATGTATGCTGGTTTTGGGCAATGATTCGTTATATATTGGCCAATCCCAATATATAGACTAGCTGCCTGGTAGTGGCTGTTGTATGAGCATCATGCATGCATATTGCATAATGCTGATGCGGCAGCTGTTATCATGGGCGGCGAGCCTATACATTGGCTTGAGCCAATATAAAACGAATCCGATCAGCCGTTTCAGGCGGCGCCTGAGTAACACCCGAGTATCGTATGAGTTATCGACGTGAGTACGTCCTGAGTACAGCCCTAGTTTTCACTGAATAACCGATGAGTTCCAACTGAGTTATGGCCGTACTACCACCTGAGTTATACATTAGTACCAGCTGAGTTACATGTGAGTTACTTCCTAGTTTTTCATGAGTAATGACTTACTAATACCTGAGTTTGGCCTGAGTTGTCTGAGTAGGACATGAGTTACGCATGAGTACTTACTGAGTTTTATCTGAGTTTTACCATCGGACAAAATGGCAACTCACTTTGTTACTCACATGCTACTCACTTGCAATGAGTTTTGCCCGAGTTTTACCTGCGTTCCGCCCTGAGTTTTACCTGAGTACGCGGATTTAGAGTGAGTTTTACCATTGGACAAAATGGCAACTCAGTCATTACTCAGAAAAGTGAGTAAAATTTTTTTTCAGTGTAGTTAGCGCCGGTAGGCATTAGCTCGGCATAGCCGGTAGGCGAGTGAAATGTCGAGTGCCTCGTTGATAATTCTGGTGAACGTAGCTAAATCCGATCACGGATGACCTGAGCAAATTTTGCTGTGAAGACGTGTCAGTTGGTTGTGTGTATGTAAAATCCATGAGTTGCTAATGTGAGCGCCCGATGAGCGGCAGGCGCGGGTCTGATCAATCGACCTATTCATTCCTCAGAGACGGTTTTCAGCCTTCTATCGTTTACGAAGTTTCTGTATTGACAACACCATGCATAACTCTACGAGCATCACGTTCCCGAGCTCAGCTCGGGTCACGTATAGAGCCGTTCCTCGACCAGCCGCTCGCGCCGCCCCCGAGCACACGCGCGACCAGATCAGCGACCAGGCAGTCGCCCTAAGTAGTAGCGACGGATAGCAGCGCGCGCCAGCCGACTACACCCAACGGCAACGGCCAATGCACATATCTAACTTGCAACAGATAGTTTATCTTAGAGTTTCTGATAGGATAATTGGCCTGATGCCAGCTAATAGATATATTACTGTACAAACAGTGCTTGCTGTAATGTCCCACAATCATCCAGTTTAAATCTACATTTCATGTTAAGAAAATGCGAGCATGTGCAATGGGGGTAATGGGCACAAACGCTCCCCTCCGGCTTCCCTTGACATCCCTTGACGTTCGGCAGACGGCACCCACTGCCAGCACAGAGCGTCCCCTCTCTCCGGTTTTCTTTTCGCTAAAAGTCGTCATAATCCCAGCTGTAGCTGCTCACTACAGGCTGTGCATGGCTCGTGACAGTTCTGGCCCTTCTGACCGTCGTCCTGGCCTGACCCTGTCGCCCCATATTGGCCTGTGTAGAAGCTGCGGTGTTTTGAAACTGTCCGTATGTTTTGAAGATTTGCGTTGGTCTGGCCGCCGAGTGGCCCCCGTTTGCCTTGGTTGCCACCCCACTTCTTCTGGAGGGCGTCGTCACGCTTTTTCTCGACACGGCATGGCCCTCGGGGTGCTTCAGCTTCATTGCGCCGAAGGTGGCCGTGAGTTTCGTGATGTCGCTCGCGGATTCTTCGCGGACGGCACCGTCGCTGCTGTCCTTATTGTCACCAGAGTGGCCACCGGGCGGTCGTCGGCCGTTGAGGGCGGATAGCCTGGTGCCGCTCTTCGCCAGGTACAGGACTAGAGACCGGACGAAGTGGTGCTGGCACACGGTGACCATGTCGCAGACGACGAACAGGTGGCGGCGCGCGCGCGTCACCGCCACGTTCAGGCGCCGCACGTCGTCCACGAAACCCAGCTGGCGGCGCGGGTTGGAGCGCACCAGCGAGATGAGGATGGCCTCCTTCTCGGCGCCCTGGTAGCCGTCCACCGACTTCACGTCCACCTGGTCGAGTCGCGCGGCGCCGAGCAGCCCTGCGATCAGCGACACCTGACCCTTGTACGGCGTGATCACACCGATATCCTCGGCCTGCAAACCAGAATCCATCAGCAGCCTGACGTGTTCGAGAACCAGCCTGGCTTCTCCCTCGTTCTGGTACGACTTGGTCTTGCCCTTTGCTTCTGTCATTCTGCAGCCGGCGGTGTCCATGAGCGTCAGAGTCGGCTTTGTCCAGTGCGTGCTGCGCACCCCGGGTAGGTCGGTCAGTTGATGACTTGCCACTAGCGGTGCGGCCTTCAGCTTGCCATCGTACAGAGTCTTTGAGGACCACTCCTGGATCAGCGCGTGCATGCGGTACTGGGTGTCGAGCATGTGGACGATACCCTCACCATGCAGCTTCATCTGCCGCTCCATCAGCGAGACGGCCAGACCGCGGCTGGCCGCCTCCTGACTGAGGACGGTGGGCGGCAGCTGGTGTGGGTCGCCCGCCAGCAGCACCTTCTTGGCCAGTGGGATGGCCAGCCAGCAGGCGGCCTCCGTCGCCTGGCCGCACTCATCGATCACCAACAGGTCGAAGGTTCGATATGATGAGTCGTCTTCTTTGGGGGCGGAGGTCAGTGTGCTCATCACTACCAACGCCCTCAGCCGTGCTGCGTCCTCTAGCTGCTCATCAGTCACCCGTGAAAGCAGAGTGGGATTCTGCGACCTCAACTTTCGTCTTAGCTCTTTGATTTGCGCTCGAGGTGAGAAGCAGCGATGCTTCTCATCCACCCTCGCTGGGTGGCCAATGCGGATGATTCCACCCCTGCTGAGCTTACAGCGAGGGGTCTTCGCCATCTGTTTCAGCAGTCCTTCGAGCAGGTTATCGACGGCCTTGTTGGATGGCGCGCAGACCAGCACGCGCTGACCGCGCTCCACGTGCTGCAGAATCACCTCCACAATGGTGGTGGTCTTGCCGGTGCCGGGCGGGCCGTGGAGGACCGTCAGCGGGCGGTCGCGCAGGGCCATCTCCACCGCTCTGCCCTGCGACCTGTCCAGCTTCGAGTTGAAGTAAGCAGTGCTGCTCCCGCTGATGTGGTCCATTTCCAGAGATTTCCCGTCGCGGGCATGTTCTTTGAACATTGCTCGCACCACCGGAACTGTATGCTTGTCCGCAGATGACGCCCGCGACGTGTCGATGTTTTTAAGCCACGTCATTGCCTTTGTTAGCTGGTTGATTATGAAGGCATCTTCGACTGGCTGTATGAACAAAGTCTTGGGATGGAATCCTTCTTCCCAGCTCTTCGGCTTTGATGGAAATACAACCGTTAGAATGAGTTGTTCTTTGGAGTCTTTTTTGGAGTCTTTTTGAAGTTTAACTTCAGTCACCACTGCAGACGGCGGTTTTGGTGTGGTCTTCTTTTGGTCGTCTTCAGAGTTCAGATCTTGCTGAGGTCGTGTCGTCCACACAGAAACCGTGCCGCCCTTCTCAATGCTGTGAGCTACCTTCACACGCGTGAGAGTGAGCTCATACATATACTCGTCTTCGTACTTCTTAACCACGTTGACTTCTAGCACTGACACTCCTCCTTTCTTCATATCATTCTGTCTCTTCTTCTCTGCCTTTTGTTCCAGCTGAATGAGCCTCAGATGAAGGTCTGCCAATTGAACTCTACTTCTTGGCTCCATGACCTCTATCTGAAAAAGATAACATTGTGAGTCCACAACTCACATGAAGTTGACACCGTGCCGCCAAATCAGACTGTGGCTCGTACCTAGCTTATTAATATTTTTTTTTTTATAAGAAATTTAGCCCGAATGGATGAATGGGTGATTTAGGGCCTGGATGCCACGATAGCTGGTGTTTGTGGCGAATGAAACCACGACCTTTCACCCGATCTTGCCCGCGCCTGGTACACCGGCGCTAAGTTTACTTTAACCCGCGACCTCCTGGGGGGGGGTCGGATCCGACCCCCCCCTCCGTTTTTCTTAAATAACTCATGAACCGCTTACGCTATCTACTTGAAACTTGGCATACCTTCTCCCCCATCAATTTGACGTCTCCTGTGCAATTTTTAAGGAAAAAAATCATTTTTTATAGATATATTGATTTTAGTGACGTAACTACATGGCGTTTTCAGTCAAAAAGTGGTAAATGTTTAAAAAATCGCCAAAAATCAAGGTTTGAATCAAATTGCAAATTAAGGATATGAATAGACGCAGCTCAACGAGTTCTTTAAAATGGCTATCTCGGATTTTCCATAAAATGCGTTTTTTTTACCCCTAAAAATTCAAAAAACTATATTTTTGGAAAACAGGTAGGGTAGCCTGGGGCAAGACGCCCCAGATAATTTATTTTGCTACATAACTGTTGTCCCACATCACCTGAAAGACCAAACTTGTGCTCAATGCGTTCTCTGGACATTTTACTTTAAATTCCACCCCTCAAATTCATTCACTTATGATCGGACTCCCAGCTAGGAAGTGATTTGTGAAGCAACTTTGCAATTTTGCCCCAACCCCAGGGCAAAACGCCCCACGGCCTGGGGCAAGAAGCCCCATACTCTAGATTAAAGATTAAACACGCTAGCTGACTAAATCTTATGTGAGAGGTCCGTTAGACCTTGGGAGGCACGGCACTGAAGTTAGCACCTTCCATCCTGTCAGGTGTCCAGCTATGACACTATTGTATGAGCATGTTTTTCACCTGCCTCATAAGGCCAAATAATAAATTATTGCAATGCAAATGTTAACAAAATACTTCCTTTGCCATTACGTTCCTGAGAAAAGTACATATAAATGCATAGAAACTTACTGTTCGCCAGCTACCGAACATTAGGAAGTGGGTAGTCCGAACAACACATGAGGTAAAACGCCCCATGGGGCTTTTTGCCCCGCGACCTACTGGGGCGTTTTACCCCATCGCGTACTTCGGTCAGAGAACAACGCCTTGCACTCCAGCAAGACATAACCCTCGCATGTGTGCGGCGTTTGCCAGCTTCTAATGTGTAGGGGGGTGGGGGGTCGGTTGGACCCCCCCCCTTGCCGTTTGGCCCCTGATCGAGCTAGAGCTTCGCGGAAAAAACGAGCGTGTTGCCCGTGGCGAGAGGAAGCCGATGATACCCAATTTTAAGGTCCTAGGTCATTGGTTGACCTTCCAGGTCAGGTCAATGACCCAAAGTCGGGAAAATCGGGACCTGTTAGAAAGTCATAAAGTGTGGCTGCTAAGGGGTTTTTCGGGGTGCTGATCACGAATATCGTGTTAGTTTTGATCACAGATGATGTCTTGAAGCATTTAGACCAGGTCGGGTCAGGTCAGGTTAGGTCAACCAGTAGGCGTCGTGACGGGTATTCGTAGTACGTGTCAACCGCCTCTGACAGCTTCGTAACATGTTACAAAGTCACCAAAACTACTTCGTAAATGTTCAAATGGTTGCTAAATTCGAATTCAGCTCCAAAAACTAGCCTAGAAACATGTAAAACTCGAAAAAGTGAACCGAGGTCACCCGAGGTCACCAAAGGTCAATGACCTGACCTGACCTTCAGGTGACCTTGACACACACGGGAGTAACATCAAATCACATGTTTGAACGTTTGAAACCACGAAAAGCTTGCAAACACGCGGCTAGTGCGAGCCGACATACGCGAAATCGCGATTCCGGCCAAACATGGTCTCGGAAAAGAGGTCACAGGTCAAAGGTCATTTGGGTCAGGGTCATGAAATTTTCAGGGTAGGTGTAAAATTGATCAATGCGAGGGTACTGAAAGTTTCGTCGCGATCGGCCGCTTTTTACGCGAGTTATTCTCGAAAAACCATGGGGGGGTCCATCCGACCCCCCCCCCCCCCTACACATGCGAGGGATAATTTAGCACGAACCAACCCGGCATTATAAGCGCTAGACAATAGTTGTTCAAAATACATAAAAGTCGGTAACCTGATGTGGACCATAAAAGAACGCCATGATGCATAATCTGACAACAAAACTTAAAAATCACTCCAAAAACACATTTTTGGCTATATCTCCATAAAGAGTTATCACAATTTCTTTCCAGTCTGCTCATATAATGATCATATAGTGCACGTTTTATAGAAGAGCGGATGTTTCTCCAGAACCTTGCCAGTTCCGAGAAACATCGTTGAGGCGTTTTACCTCGGCGGGCCGACTTGCCCCGGTCTACCCTAATAAAATCCAAAATTTTGGGAATTTCAAAAAAACGGAATATATGTTATAGAGCTCTATCAGAACATTAGATGTCCCAAATTTCAACTTTCTATTTTAATTTTTGACCCCCAAATTGTAACAAATAGCTCCAACATGCATAGGGCATGGTGACGTCATAAGCATTTTCGTGAATTAGAGGCACTTCTGAACATCGCATGTGAAGACAAATGGCACCACTAGATTCCTGGGACAAAGCTCGTCTAGAAAAGTGCATTTTTATGTCAAAAATAAAAAGTTGAAAAATTGACTTTTTTTCTTAGCCCTCGTTTAGTTATGTATGGTATACGTTTTTTATGCTTCCAATGCACACTTATCACCAGCACAGTGACTTGGGGTCACATATAACCATTACCATCGGATTCGGCGTGAAAAATAAGCCATAAAACATGTGTCGCACGCCCAAGTAGCAGAAAGTGAAAACCGTGACCTTTCGTGACCTGACCTGACCTTGACCCGTACTTAGTATGACCCCTATACTCACATGGTACCTTCACTAGGCCTTTGAGGTCATTTTTGGTGAGTTTCGAGCAGCAGCTATCTATTCCGCTGTCCGTAAGCCTAATCATGCAAAACCCCTGAATTTAACCTTTGACCTGATCTTGACCCGAAAGTTGACCTCAATCTTAAAATCTTAAGAGTGCTTTGGGAAGGTCTCGTAGAGACCTTTCGAACGCCGCCTCGCGGGGCTCGATACGACCATTGGTTCTCGAGATAACAGGGGGGGGGGTTCGGATCCGACCCCCCCCCCCCCAGGCTGTCGTGGGTACGGAAATAGCCCAGGCGGTGCCGGGTTAAGATTAGGCGCCAATGTGAATCAACAACGCTCCGATCAGTTGTCAACTCAAACGACACATATGTGGGTACTGATCTGCTTGGGATGATATAATTTTCACACCTCTCATATCAACGTAGCAATGTAAATGGATGGATATGGCTTTTATTTCAATGATGCTTAGCAGCATTTCAAGCAGGCAAAGGAATGGATCTTTTATAATCAAGCTGCAACAGCATGGCCCATTTAAATTTGAAGTACATATGTCGATGGGTATCTTTCCACAGCTTAACTTGTCACGTGCCACTAACGGAGCCTCATGTTGGAATGTTATCGGCAATGAAGCAGACTGCCTTTATCAGTGATGTGATTGCGTCCAATCAATGTTTTGTTCTCAGAACCTAAAAAAATACAGCCTGAGTGCCGACAAAACCGGCGGCGCAGATAACCGCTGTCCCCGGGTGTCGCAGTTCAGACACGGGTGGACCCATATCCGCTCCCGGCTGTGAGATAACAGGGCTTTGGATGTTCTGATCGGCGGGCTGGCTATTGATCTCTGCTTGAGACATGACGTCATCGACTGTGATAAGCGTAACAGAGACGTCGGGGGTTCACCCTCTTTTACCATGTAGCCGTCTTTTTTTAAGCTCACAAAAGCTATGAGGTAGGGAACGATGACTGTCAAAGCTCAGGAAAGTACCTGTTCGGCTCGAGCTAAAATATCTATTAACCCGCGCCCCACTGGGGGGGGGGGGGGGGGAAGGGGCTATTCATAGCCCCCCTCCCGTTTTTTTGCAATAACTTCCAAACCGCTTGACGAATCGACGCCAAATTTTTAGTTCCTTCGGCTGCATTAAGTTGGCACCTTGTGTCAAAATATGTACTTCGTAGCTACCATAGGTCGGCTTAAAATGACGTCGAGTGACGTCACGTTTGGCCGATTTCGACGCAAAACATTGAACCACGGCAATCGCTCCCAAGAGCTCAGGTTTTAAGCTACAGTAGATCCAATTTTTTTGCATGAGAGGACTCATAATAGACTGCACTATCTAACTGCTACTCTCAAAACTGACTGCACTCTGAAAATTATGAAAATTTGAAAAATGATATACAATGAACTTAAAAATTTATTTCTTTATATTTTTTCTCAAACTTTTTGACTTAACCCGCGCCCCACTGGGGTCTGCGTATAACACGCCCTACTGGGGGGCTCTCCATAGCCCCCCTCCTAACTCCAAAACTACTGGGCCGATGGTCTAAATTCAAACGGCGTCTGATAGCCCCGGAAAAACTGTCGAGCAAAACCTAATTTCGTTGACCTCGAGGTCACCGATGACGTCACAGGTCAGATCAAAGTAAAAATTATTAGCATTTCGCCTTGTTCACCTTTTGGGCTCTGGCCTACATCTTACAAGTCAGATCAGGCTCATTTTTGGTTTACACACTCGTGAACAGATGCTCTAGATACCTTGAGGGTACCAAACTTGTACTTTGATTTTCAGGTCAGGGTCAGGTCATCACAGGTCACGGAAATATTATATCATGCGTCGGTCACGTGACACGTGTTTTATGGTCCTTTTAGAACATAGATTTCGAATTTGATGTCGTCTGTGTCATTTGAGGTCATTTTGGGTTAGGTCAGGCCACCTTCAGGTCAAAAAAGGTCAAATTTTGCAAGCTTAAATTTTCAACAAAAAAATTGTCTATTGGATGCAGTTTGAGCTCCGGAACGCGATGGTGCTATTCATATTGGTGTACGATGTCAAATACGTACTGAAAAATTGATTTGAAAAATTAAAATTGTGATTTTTTTGCAATAATGCGTATAACTTGGCCATTTTTGAAGATATTTAGCTAAAACTTGCTAGAGTTAGTCATAATCATGGGTTCTGTCACATGCATTCCGGTTTTTTTCGAAAAGTCAAAAACTTTTTGAAAAAATATAAAAAATATAAATTTTGAATAACATTTTCGCAATTTTCACAATTTTGAAAATCCGAGATAGCAGTTTGATAGCGCAGTCAATTCTGAGTCCTTTCATGCAAAGAAATTGAATCTAGCTTAAAAACTGATCTCTTGGGAGCGATTGCCGTGGTTCAATGTTTTGCGTCGAAATCGGCCGAACATGACGTCACTCTGACGTCATTTTCGGCCGATCTATGGTAGCTACGAAGTTCAAATTTTGACACAAGGTGTCAAAATGATGCAGCCGAAGGTACTGAAAGTTTGGCGTCGATACGTTAAGTGGTTTGGAAGTTATTGCAGAAAAACTGGAGGGGGGCTATGAATAGCCCCCCCCCCCCAGTGGGGCGCGGGTTAACGAAGCAACCAGAATATATGTGATAGAACACATGCTTATGACTTAGGTAGGTACTCTAGCAAGTTTTAGCTAAATATCTTCAAAAATGGCCAAGTCATACGCATTAATGCAAAAAATAACAAGTATAAAATTTTTCAAATCATTTTTTCAGTACGTATTTGACATCGTACACCAATGTAAATAGCATCGTATTCCTGAGCTCAAACTGCATCCAATAGACACCTTTTTTGTTCAAAAAAAAAAAAAATTAAAAATTTCACCTTTTTTTACCTGAAAGTGACCTGACCTAAGCTAAACTCAACTCAAAATGACCTCAAATGACACAAATGACATCAAATTCGAAATCTATGGCCTAAATGGACCATAAAACATGTGTCACGTGACCGACGCATGATATAATATTTCCGTGACCTGTGATGACCTGACTCTGACCGGGAAATCAAAGTACAAGTTTGGTACCGTCAGGGTATCTAAAGCATCTGTTCACGAGAGTGTAAAACAAAAATGAGCCTGATCTGACTTGTAAGACGGCGGCCAGAGCCCAAAATGTGAACAAGCTTAAATGCTAATAATTTTTACTTTGACCTGACCTGTGACGTCATCGGTGACCTCGAGGTCAATGATATTAGGTTTCGCTCGACAGTTTTTCCGGGGCTATCAGACACCGTTTGAATTTAGACCATCGGCCCAGTAGTTTCGGAGTTAGGAGGGGGCTATGAAGAGCCCCCCCCCCCCCAGAAGGACGCGTTATACGCAGACCCCAGTGGGGTGCAGGTTAAAACCCGCGCCCCGTTGACGCCTGGCAAGTTTCAGGTCCTGTTGGGGGGGGGGGGGGGGCAAAGGTAAGCATCGCAGGTATCTCTGGAACCAATAGCCGGATCAGAGAAATTCAAACGGCATTCGAAAAAAATCATCGAGATACACAAGATGTTGTGTCGATGACCTCGATTTTAGACATTTTACCTACGTCAAAGGGAGGCCAAACAAGGTCAACTATGTCCAATTTACAATGACAAGTCGATCCTAAAAAAGTACATTTTTGTTTCTAAAATGAGCCTGGATATGAATTATCTCTCGCCGGCACAGGCCATTTTGCGTCCTTCGACGGCACAAGGGGGTTGGTACGACCCCCCCTCGCGTTTGGCACCTGATCGAGCTAGAGCTTTGCGGAAAAAAACGAGCGTGTTGCGCGTGACTAGAGGAAGCCGATGATACCCAATGTTAAGTTAAGGTCTTAGGTCATCGGTTGACCTTCCAGGTCAGGTCAATGACCCAAAAGTTGGGAAAATCGGGACCTGTTAGAGCATTGTAAAGTGTGGCTGCTAAGGAATTTTTCGGGGTACTGATCACGAATAGCATGCTAGTTTTGATCACAGATGATATCTTTATGCATTTAAGCCAGGTTTGGTCAGGTTAAGTCAGTTTAACCAGTAGGGGTCCTGCCGGGTATTCGTAGTACCTACGTGTCAACCGCCTCTGACAGCTTCGTAACATGTTACGAAGCCACCAAAACTACTTCGTAAATGTTCATATGGTTGCCAAATTCGAATTCAGTTCCAAAAACCAACATAGAAACATGTGAAACTCGAAAGAGTGAACCGAGGTCACCAAAGGCCATTGACCTGACCTGACCTTCAGGTGACCTTGACATCCACTCTTATGCATGGGAGCAGCATCAAATCACATGTTTGAACGCTTGAAACCGCGAAAAGACGGCAAACGCGCGGCTAATGCGAGCCGACGTACGCCGAATCGCGATTCTGGCCAAACACGGTCTCGAAAAGTATTCACAGGTCAAAGGTCATTTGGGTCAGGGTCATGATATTTTCAGGGTAGGTGTAAAATTGATCAATGCGAAGCTACTGAAAGTTTCGTCGCGATCAGCCCCTTTTTACTTGAGTTATTTGCAAAAAACCTAAGGGGTGCATCACCCCCTGTGCCGACAAGGGTTAAGAATGCATAAGCAGAGCGAGGCAGTACGCTGTGCCTAAGCATTTCTATTTGTATAACCATGCCATTATAGCGGTGGAATGATCGTTACAAAGGAGCTGGGATTTTTTTCCCGCTGGCTCGTCTCTCTAGCCACGTAAGCCAACCCATCTACCGACATAACCGACAACCGTCACGGTACGCCGAGGCTCAGGGGCAAAACAAAATCTAAGGGCGAAACACTTATGGACTGGGTGACTAGAAATCAAATTTAATGGTCAATGTTCCATTCATAATCAGTAATCGCCAAGCTAAAAATGGCTTACCAGCGTTCTTTCTCACCTGAATCGGGCAGAGGAAGGCCGTTCAACTGCTGCTGACAGCCGCCCAACCGCTCCTGACACTGTGTGCGCACAGCCGCGGCACTTTTAAACACCGTGGGTGACTAATGCGTGACGAGCTGAGCTCTATCGTGGGGCGATTGGGGGGACGCAGAGAAGCTGTCGGCTATCGAGCACCCGCGGCTGGTACAAGGGTGAGCTGCGGTCACTGGGCGGGCGTCACATGGCGGCGCCAGACGTGCACAGACTCGTGGCTGCGGAGTGCGGGGAAGTCCCCATCACCCCACCCTGAAGGGACAACACTATTCGACCGCCACCCCCGCAGCCATTCTATAACTCAGGAACCACGGGACCGATCGGGACGAACGAAACACCATTCGAATCAGGGGGGACGATTTTATCAGCCGTTTCCAAGACGGTGACCTCAGGTGACCTGGATGACTTTGGGAGGTCACATGACCGTTGTTGCCTACGGCAGCCATTCTATAACTCAGAAACTACTGGACCGATCGAGACGAAAACACCACCAGTTGATTCAACGTATGCGATTTCATGAAAAGGCTCTATAAGCTCAGTTGAAATAATTCCAGCCGCGAGGGTGGCCGAAAGGCATCATTGTAATTTGCTGCATAATTTGGCTTGGGTTACAAAACAAAGTGATTCTACCACTGGAAACATTTACCCCAGTGTTACAGTGCGGTGAATACCTACCTAATAACGCACTCCCCGACCCCATCCCTGGCAAGATGCCGAAAACTATTACCACTGTCACCACTGTCACGATCCCTGTCATCTCTGTTACCATTGCCACCACTGGCACCACTGTCACCAGTGTCACCAGTGCCACCACTGATACCACTGCCACCACTGTCACCACTGCCACCACCGCCACCAGTGCCACCACTGTCACCAGTGTCACCAGTGTCACCACTGCCACCACTGTCACCAGTGCCACCACTGTCACCAGTGCCACCACTGGCACCACTGCTACCACTCACCACTGCCACCACTGGCATCAGTGTCACTACTGCCTTCACTGGCACCAGTGTCACCACTGCCTTCACTGGCACCAGTGTCACCACTGCCTTCACTGTCATCACCACTGTGGCCGTGCTGTCGTTCCGGCCGCTCCATCAAACCGTCGTTAGCACTGTTCCCCGGTGACAAAGGGTCGGCCGATCCATCACTGCCCGGTGACGCAGCGCGGAGCCGCCGCGGCCAGTCCGGCGCACTGCGGACGAACCCGGCGCACTGCGGACGAGCGTGGCGCACCGGCTGGAGATGGGATAGAGCCAGTCAAGCGCCGGTGCTGTGCTCCTAGCGACCGGCGGGTGGTGGAAATGAAAGGGAGGCTATTTGAAGCTTGCGAGGCTCAAATGTGATCGACTACAAGGTCATAGGTGGGAGCTGAAATTGCCGTTGCACCAAAAAAAAATCTCAAATTTTGGACTATTTGTGGTTGATTTTTTTTTTCGCCGACGCATTTAGGAAAAGCGGAGGTGGGAAGGGCCGCCCACCGGGGAACACTGTTCTGAGTGTTCACCCATCTATCTCGCCATCTCTTGCTGGACCTATCAATTTTCTTTCTTATGTATATGGTGTGAGCACGATCTCAGATTTCAGGACGCCGCTGTTTCGCCCTAATCGAGTTAGGACGGTTTGGGAAAACCGACAAATGCAACGTTACGAGATGCATGAATTGGTGCATATCTTACTTTGAGGTCTCAGGTAAACCGGTGGCCCTTGAGATCTTGTCAAAGACATAGGTAAGGGTAGAGTACATTTTTAAGGAAAAGACAAAATGGAAAAATGCTGCAGAGGTACGATTTTGGCGCAGCTATAGGTACTTGTCCAGCCTAGTCAAATCACACCTTTTTATTCGGTACTTGGTTGTTCACCTCAAGGTAAAGTCATTAAAAAGTTAAAGTCAGGTCAAAGCCGCCTGACATCAGTTAGCTAGCCGAGGAAGGTGACTCTGCAAATTATTTGATTGGTATGCATGGTTCATTTTGAGTTCATTGTGGCTTTCCTAACCTTTCGAATTGTCAGGGGGTGTCACCAGACCCTCTCAGTCGGGCATGACTGAATACCTAATGACCTTTCGATCATTGATAACCAAGGGAATGTTTTGACTGTTGACATGGTGGCAATAGGACACAATCACATGACGAGATCTCTTTCATTGATATGCTGCTCCCTTCTTTTATTATTTGTGAGTCATTTAATACATTTCTCGTTCAAGAGTTCTTTCTTAGATTTCCAGTAAATCGAAAAGAATAAACCTTATTTGAGATGGGGAACTTCATAAATGGTTAAAACGTAAAACTAGTTGACAGTCATTCAGACAAGTGGAATCACGAACTTGATCTGACACGAACGATGGTGACATGTTTCTGGCCGCCTTATCGTCCTCACGGTATCTCACGGGGTAACACCGCCCGGCGCTGAGGACTGAGGATTTCCCAGCTGGCCGGAGTCTGCTCGGTCAAGGGCATCTCGATTACAAGGGCAATGTTTTTGCAGTTTTATAATTTAGTTGCCTATCAATTCACTTGTTTATTACTGACATGTCGATCTTGATTCAACATTAGGGCTTTTTTACGACGGGTTATTTAGCGAATGCACCTAATTTGACCAAATCTGCACCAAATCCCTTTCAAAGCAAATATCTTCATATAATGAATTCATTTCAGTGTTTTAATCGAAAATAATGTCTTATCCCTTGCCGGACCTATTGGTTTTCTACATACGCGCCGGCCGAGGGGGGGGAGGTACGACCCCCCCCCCTCGCCGTTTTGCCCCTGGTGGGGCTAGCGCGTCGCGGAAAAAACGAGCGTGTGCGCCGCTACAAGACGCAGAGATTGATACCCGATTTTAAGGTCTTAGGCCAACCGGTGACCTCTGAGGTCAGGTCAAGTGCCCCAGGGTACGGTTCAGTTTTTGGTGAATAACTTTGCAAAAAACGGCCGCAGAGCTGCGATTTTGCAGCATCGTGTTTGCCTCGCTCAGGCGCGTCGAATGATATACTTTAATGTTTGGGTTAGGTCAACTTAGGGTGTTGACCTCGGGTCACGGTCAGGTCATCGCCCCCAGGTCGCGAAGTTGGTCGAAAGAGGTCATGTCGCACATCATTCGACTCGGCGGGTCTTCCTGAGTCAATTGGTGGCTTTTCTGACTCGATAGCTCAATTTAATCGGAAGTTATTGACGAAAAACTAATTTGACCTTGATGACGTCATAAATGACGTCACGCAAGGTCAACATTGCAAAAGTGACGCATCTAACCTTGCAAGGAGTGCATCAAATCACGATTATGTGTGCTTGAGATAGTTGGAGATCGTTCCCGGCGCCAGAATAGCAGTTTTCATTTCATAGCAGCAGTTTTTTTCCCATTGACTTATAATGGTGAGGTCACGAAAATGACCTGACCTCATGACCTTTAGGAAAAATCCGAGATATACAAGTTGTGAGACTCGTAATGGATACTAGATCCTGCAAGTTTCATTTCCCTGTGAAAGCTCCTCCGGCAGTGAGGGCGCGGCGAAGTTGCGACATCTGAAGACCGTGGAGAGGTTCACTTATGACGTCATAGGTCAGTGACCTGACCAGACCCGAAAATGCAGCTTGTGTCAAAAGATCCGGCTTGAATCAAAGGTCAGGTATGCCAAGTTTCAGCTCTCCCAGCGTGTTCGGAGCTAGCGCGAAAAATTCCTATGGGGGCGGCACCCCCTCTGCCGGTGAGGGTTAAAATTTCAAAAATGGGGTATTACCTAAGCATCTGTGCTACTCAAACTGATAGCTTTTAAGATACACACCGAACCTAACTTGACCAAAGCTGCACCTAATTTGGCCAAATCCGCACCTAATGCAGGGGCGGATCCAAGGGGGGGTCACATGGGTCATGGCCCCCCCCCCTTGAGGCCCGGGGGCCCAAAGACCTGCCAGGGGCACCACCGGCCGATCAGGGGAATCACAGTCCTGACAGGGGCACCACAGGACCGCCAGGGGCACCACAGGCCTAGCAGGGACACCACGGGCCTGGTGCCCCTGGGCCCTGACAGGACTGTAACGCCCCTGACAAGCCTGAAGTGTCCCCGGCAGGCACGTGGTGCCCCTGACAGGCCTGAGGCGCCCCTGCAAGGCCGGTGGTGCCCCTGGCAGGCCTGTGGTGTCCATGGCAGGCCTGTGGTGCCATTGCTAGGCCTCTGGTGCCCCTGACAGGCTTGTAATGCCCCTGGAAGGACTGTGGTGCCCCTGGGCCCTGACAAGCCTGAGGTGCCCCTGACAGGCGAGTGGTGCCCTTGCTAGGCCTGTGGTGCCCCTGGCAGGCCTCTGGTGCCCCTGACAGGCTTGCGGTGCCCTTGGAAGGACTGTGGTGTCCCTGGGCCCTGACAAGCCTGAGGTGCCCCTGACAGGCCCGTGGTGCCCTTGTTAGGCCTGTGGTGCCCCTGGCAGGCCTCTGGTGCCCTTGCTAGGCCGCTTGTGCCCCTGGCAGGCCTCTGGTGCCCTTGCTAGGCCACTGGTACCCCTGCGCCCGGAGAGGACTGGTGCCCCTGAAGAGCTGAAGTGCCCCTCGGCAGGCCCGTGGTGCCCCTGACAGGCCCAAGGTGCCCCTGCGAGGCCGGTGGTGCCCCTGGCAGACCTCTGGTGCCTCTGGCAGGTCTGTGGTGCCCCTGGCAGGTCTGTGGCGCCCCTGGCAGACCTGTGTTGACTGGTGCCCCTGCTAGGTCGCTGGTGCCCCTCACAGACCTGTGGTGCCCCTGGGCCTTGACAAGCCTGAGATGCATGGCTATGACAGGCTCGTGGTGCCCCTGATAGACCAGTGGTGCCCTTGCTAGGCCTGTAGTGCCCCTGGCAGGCCTCTGGTGCCCCTGCTACCCCTGCGCCCGGAGAGGACTATGGTGCCCCTGAAAAGCCTGAAGTGCCTCTCGACAGGCCCGTGGTGCCCCTGGGCCCTGACAGGCCCAAGTTACCCCTGCGAGGTCGGTGGTGCTCCTGGCAGGCCTCTGGTGCCCCTGGCAGGTCTGTGGTGCCCCTGGCAGGCCTGTGTTGACTGGTGCCCCT